CGAGATATCGGTGATGAGGTGAAATTTCTAAATGATAATACATATGTATAATAATTTCTTTGTTTGATATATATGCGCCGTTGCGGAAGTGAGGATGAGCAGGCCCTTTGCTCCGTGGTTAATATCAAACTTAAGAGCTGTTTTCAAATTAAGAGACGCTGCTTTAGGAAAATACAAACAAAATCGTACAAATCAGACGTGTAGAGAATATACAGACTTGAGAAATTTTGTACTTGCATCTCTGTGTAGAGAAAAGGCTTCATATATTCAGCATTTACACCAAAGCTAAATTCGTCGTCTTTATATAAAGGTCTCGGGAATTTGAACATCCATAACAAGAAGTGTAACCATAAACCTCTTAGTTTACGCAACCCAATGGAAATAAATGAGTATTTTTGCCTATTTTCAAGACAATACCTAGCACTGTGCTAGTGAAATAGAATTTTATATTAACAACATGCTTAGTGAGTCGCTAAAATTTGATTTGGACTTGACCACTGAGGAAGATATACGTTGTCTGTTACTTAAAATAAAATTTAATTCCTATAGACATGATGGTATTACTACCAATATGGTGAAATTATGTTTTCCTGTGTGCACTATATTCTTGTGTATGGAAGCAGGCAGTAATTCTTCCCTTGGCAAAAACTAGTAGCCCTTCAGCTTACTCTGATCTTAGTTTACTTCCCATTTTGTCAAAAATATCAGAAAGGATAGTATACAATCAATTACAAAACTACTGCTCTAAAAACAACATAATCCCGGGATGATATTGTTGAGACTTCGGATCGTGGTCAAGCAGCGGCTCTTGTCTGATTGACTTCTCCCAGTCTTTTATATAAATCTGATTCTGATTATATATAAAAAAAAAGTATACAATCAATTACAAAACTACTGCTCTAAAAACAACATAATCCCGGGATGATATTGTTGAGACTTCGGATCGTGGTCAAGCAGCGGCTCTTGTACTGATTGACTTCTCCCAGTCTTTCGACACTAACAGCCATTCGCTTTGATCTCAAAATGTAAATATATCGGATTTTCTCAGGCTTCTATAGTTCATTACTAATGATCTTATGAGTCGTATGCAAAGGGCATATTTGGACAGCTCATATTTGGCATGTAGGAGCCCCTCAGGGCTCTACATTAGAGCCTCTATTGCGTTTTGTCTACGTATCAGATATTAGTAAAATGATACGCTCCTCTGAAGTAATGGTTTTTGCTGATGATACACAAATCTGTAAAACATTTCTTCCCGTCCACGGTTGAGCAGCTATTGACGAGTTGAATTGCGGCTTAGCCACCACTGTGAGTTTTTCCAGGTCTAACTGCTTAAGACTTAGTGCCTCTAAATCTAAAGCTGATCTCGTTGCACCGATAAATAAAACAATAAATATTAAAATTGACACCACAGTATGCATTAATGACACTCTTCTAATTTATGAGGTCCTTGCAAAAGATTCACGATCTTACTTGACAAGGATTCACGTTTTCGTGAGCATATATCTAAATTAGTAGAATACTGCTTTATTTTTATGAAAACTTTGTTTGCTAATAGGCATTTCATCAATTTGAAAATGAAAAAAATATCTTTTTGAAATTTTGACAAATTAACTACTGCCTTATATTTAGCTTTTTATCTTTATTTAGATCAAGTTTCAGGTGGTAGACTCCAACTGATCAAAATTTATGATGTCGCCTTATCTACCGCTTAAGAAAATATGACCATGACCAAAATATATTCATAGTTTAAAATGGTTAGATATTAGTAGATCTTCATGTTAAAATTCATCCATAGATTAGTTATCACGGGTCGTCCCGAATACCTCTTCAAATAAGTTATTTTCAGAAAGTCTGTTAGAGGGCGCCTGCTCAGGTATGACAAATTGTTGGAAATTCCACAACATCGTACAGCTTTATTTACCCGTTTTCCAGTTATAATTGTGTTAACCTGTACAATGTTTTAACTAATGCATTTAAAAATGTATCTCTGACTAAATTTAAGTTTTGTATCAAGCAGCATTTATTAACAGAAAATAGTCGTAATAGTAATAAGTAGTAGTTTGTAATTTAGGTTAGTAACCTCCAGCAAAACTGATTGATGTATTTACATTGGTTCTCCGCTGTAAATATAGTAGAGTTAAATGGCAGGGTAGCTATTTAGCTAAACATCGCCCGCTACACTGTACTTTAATTAATAAAGACGTATTATTATTATTATTATTATTATTATTCTCTTTTTGTTAACTCAAAAACTCACCAAACACACAAAACTATATATTTTCAAAATCCCCTACGTATACCTTTAGCTATTAGCATGGAAGTGTTTAATTTTTGTCTCAAATTTTCAGCAGCTACACTTCGTGCCGCTGTATGCCTCAAATACTGTGCCCTGCGGTTATCACTGCGGTGTCGATATTTTTTAATACTTTTATCTTAAGAATTTCTGTTTTGCTACTTCCCTCTATACTATTATTTTATTGCCTTTTCCTCCACCAAAGAAAATGAAAAAAATTAGTTTTAGGTAGTTACAGTGGTGTTACCCGTTAAAGGCAAATGTACAAAGAAATCTGCGTGATATGCACTTATGTCTGATTAATGTTAGAATTACTAGGGTTTGGAGCATATTGATTTACTGATACTAAATGAATTTTTATCCCATAAACTAAATTCAAAAATGACTAGTTTCTGAAACGGCAAGGAGTTATTGACCGTTTCTCAGCCGCTACTGGAAAACTTATATAGGTATATCTTATTTCGACTACTAGCAGCCTTGTGACATAATCTGAGTAGTATTTTCTAAGTGATAGAGGGGCCATGAATTAGCGGACTGCCCAATACACAGAGAGACCAACGGACAAACTCACCGACAGAGAGGCTGATCCACAAACAGACAGACAAGGAATAGTCGTCTTCGAGATTTTTTGCAATTACAATACTTCCTCAGCAGTTGGCGCGGGAAGTAAAGAAGAATGCAAAGCATCGCATATTTTTCTTCTAAATGTAGATGGGCTCCATTCCCTTGCTTATATGGAACTGAGCTAGGAACTGGGTTCCGAGTTTTGTAGGAACTACAAGTGCAACATGTGGCTGCTATAAAGTAAGGAAAGGTTAATCGGTACAAATTTGGGTTTTAATGTAAACATGATCAGAACTATGAACGTAAGATCCAATTTTACTGCATCACAGAGGAGGAAGACGCCAAAGCGGATGGAGCAGTGTGCTTGATTCACCCTAACCAAGACCAAGGTAATGAATGTCCCAGTGGTGCAATAGACACAGAAACCAGTACGGCAACCACCAACTGTTAAAGATCCTTTCTTCAATCAGTAGGATATGCTGCTACATTGGAGATAGATCATTACACAGTAATATTGCTATGCTATAATAGCTGTACTATTGTACATACTCCACCCATTTGATTGTATCACAAAAAAAGAATACAGACAAGGTGAATAAAATCATAGGGAGATAGACTGGCTTAAGCAAAATAAGGAAACAAAGGCACGCTTAATATGTTGCTGTTATTTGGCGAGAGACGAATGCAGTGCTGCCAGCGAAATATTTATTTTTTTGTTCAAATCTACTTTTGTGTAGACATTTATCATTTTACAGTCTACCGTTTATATTTTTTATCCAATGTGTACGTTCACTATGGAACGTGTTATTGCAAGTGTATCAATCAGAGCAATCTCAGGAGGTATCCAATCAAATTAATGATTCTTCCACATTCATTAGTAGATCCGATAGTAAATAGTATCTACTCACAGAAGCTTCATCAGATATCAGATCTGACATTGATGCTTAAGCAAATAAGACCAATAAAATGTGTGTTTTCAACAGCGTGCAACTTGTTTTTGGGAAAATAAATGAAGAGAACACGCAACAATTATGCTGTAGTGAATGTTCAGCTTAGTGTAAATACCCAAACTGCACAAACCGTACTGAATCTAACTAGCGATCAAACTGTATACCACAGTCGTACATATTCTAACTACAAAATTGTTATGAAATTAATGTAGAATGTCGAAATTAAAAGTATTTTGGAGTGCCTAGTTCCTATTGAGTGTAATTCAAGTGAAACAGTCGCAGTTGGTTGGAAAATGCATAGTAGTATAGTCCATCCAATTCGAATTGAAAATAACAAAGCTATCAGGACCGCGTACAGAATTCTAAAAACACATGTAGGGTATTGTCGGGAACAGTGGCTCAGTCGGGTACAGTGGCTCCATTCAATATCTCCAAAACGAGAGAGACTATCTATCTGTCGCAGTCATCTACATCAAGTGTTTACGACACAAATGCGCATGAACCAGTCGGTCAGCAACTAAAGCACTGATAGCACGCGTCTCGCCTTTGTGTTGGTTTTCAGGTACCCAAAATTACATTTCCAGGTAAGTTTGACTTTAAAATTCTAGCTTAATTGCTGTAGTTTATTATTTATTTATATTTTGTAGTAAAGTAAGTAGAAGCAAGATAATTTTAACTTTGCTTAGAACAGCCAGTGCAACGTGAATATGGCACAGAAGACATATATTTCAAAATGGCGTCACGGTCGACAGTGGCTCAGCACGTGGAAGTACACAGTGGTTCACGAGCCACTGTGTACTATTAGTGAACCATTGTGTACCGCTTACTTGAATATTTGTTTCAGAATGCCTCGCAAGAAACGGGCAATCAGAAAAATTGGCAACAGCTCCGCTGCAGACGTTAAAGCTGGGGTACTATTAATAAGGCAGGGTATGTCTATCAGAAAAGCAGCTACGAGTTGTGGTGTGCCATTTACTACCCTGAAGAGGTATTATTGGAAAACTGCTGGTTCCGAAAATCTCGATGAGGAGCGATTCGAGCCGAATTATTCTGTGAACCAGATCTTTACCGCATCCCAAGAAGAGAAGTTGAAGGAATATTTTTCGCATTGCACTCTTCTGTTTTACGGATTAACTGCAAGAGAATGTCGTCAAGTGGCGTATCAATGTGCTAAGCTAAATAATATAAAGATGCCTAAATCTTGGACAGACAATGAAATGGCGGGTAAGGACTGGTTAACTTTGTTCAAACGTAGGAACAGGTTTTCTTCCAGGAGACCAGAACCTTGTAGCCTAGCAAGAGCTACAGCCTTCAACCGAAACAACGTCAATAATTTTTACAATAATTTAGAAGATCTGATCAAGAGAAACTCGGCTTTTGCAAATGGTACCCGTATATTTAATCTGGATGAAACATCAACGACAACAGTGCAAAAGCCTCAAAAAGTAATAGCACCATTAGGCAGAAAATGCATTGAAAAAGTCACAAGTGGTGAGAGAGGAACTTTGGTAACCACATGCTGCATTGTAAGTGCCAGCGGCAACGCTTTGCCACCAGTTATGATATTTCCTAGGAAAAAATTCAAAGATCATATGATCAAAAACACACCTGCAGGAACACTCGGCTTAGCAACGCCTAGTGGATGGATGAACGCGGATAGTTTCACAGAAGTAATGAAACATTTTATCAAGCATACGAACTCTTGCAAAGAAAATCCTAGTATGTTGGTAATGGATAACCACGAGTCACATTTGAGCATTGAAGCCATACAGTTGGCAAAAGATTGTGGAGTCAATCTCCTCACTATTCATCCCCACACTTCGGGGAAATTACAACCACTTGACGTGGGAGTATTTAGCGCGTTCAAAGTATATTATAATGCTGGCATCGATTCCTGGCTTATGACACATCCTGGAAAGCCTGTTACCATATATGACTTAGGTGAAATCATTGGGGCAGCCTTTCTTAAAGCAATGACCCCAACAAACATTACCAGGGCTTTTGCAAAATGTGGTATTTACCCATTCGACAGAAACCTTTTTACAGACGAGGACTTTCTGCCAAGTACAGTAACAGATCGTCCAGGTCCCTGTTCAGACTGTTTGCCACGTGAAGAAGGGCTCATAAACGTAAACATCAATTCAATGAATGTCATCGAGTTGGGAGCACCGGAAGAGACCACTACTGCGCACTCATCGGAGCATTCTATTTCACAGACTTGTGCAACATCAGAAAAACCATGCTCACCAACGTTGGGTACTTCGACGACACAACCAAGTCAAATTGAAACCACTGTTGTGTCTATCAACCATCAATCCATTTCTAAAGAAGTGGAAACGAAGAACCTGTCCGATGAAGATTCAATTTTGACAAAAACAAAAGTATCCAATACCGTTTCAGTTCCATCAGGACTCCAGTCATTAAAAATATTAGCTCCTGAAGTGCTCATATCAGCAATTTCTTCGAACAAACTTCCACCCAAGCCATATATAATTACCCCCGACACAAGACGTTGCTTTGACACCATCCATTTCTCAATCAGCTGAGAATACTTTTACATCTCCGTTTGAGTTTAGAGACCCAATAAAGGCTGGACCTAGAACAACTACCCGCAAGCGAAGGAAACCAGGCCGTAGCATGATTCTTACTGACACACCGGAAAAAGTTCGTCTAGAACAAGAAAAAATAGCTGCTAAAAGTAAAAACACTAATAAGAAGGGAAAAGTCACTCGAAAAGTATTACAAAGTGATGAAGAAGATAATGATCAAGAGAAGGAAACAGTGGAATATGCTGAATCTGATGATGATACAGACTGGGCAGCAGAAGATGAAGACGAAAACTCTGACGAAGAATCAGTGATTATAACTGAAAGGCACCTAACCAAATCTCTAACTCGTGCGCCACTAGAGGGCGAATATGTGATTGTACAATTTACAACAAAAAAACTTACATCGCTTTACGTTGGAAAGGTGATAGAAGGTAGAAATGAGAATAATGAATTCTACATATCATTTCTGAGGCGTACGCCTGGTACTAGCAAATTTCACATGCCTGATAAGCCTGACCTTTCTGTTATAAAAGAAAGTGATTTGAAATTACTTCTGCCAAAGCCTTCAATTGTTGGCACTTCTTCTAGGCCGTACTATAATTTTGGACTAGATTTATCCCAACTTCGGATATGCTAAGAGGTATAAGGGTTATGGAGTTATTAATTTTTATTTTTGACTTGTTCTACAAACTTTCATCATTCGATGAGCTTAAGGAGTAAGATTGGTTTTTGTCTCTGATTGTAATAAAAGTTTTTTTAACATTATAAGTACAAAAGAATACTTACAAAGTAATGTGTACATTTGTAAGTTAAGTAGAAGACTTAATTTTATTTGCTTGCTGATTATTATTATTGTTATTATTTATGCTTACGATGAGACTTATTAAAGTAGAAGTACTTCAGTGTTTTGTAAGGCAAATAGGAGTCTGATGTATGTGTGATTTTGATTATTTCAATGTTAACAGCTACGATGCGCTCATTTTGTTTTTTAATATAGTAATGGGAATAAGTTTATTTTGATCAGTGTTTTTTCCGAGATATTCAAATGTGACTCAGAAATAAAGATTTCAACAGCATTCCCGTACTTTTGATTAACTCGGTTTGTCTTGAGTCTCTGTGTACTGTTAGAACCACTGTGGACCACTGGGGTGTGTCACTGTAGCACCCTACCTGTGCACAGTGGCTCATTTCTAATTTTTTACAAAATCATTATTGGTTGTTTTTTGGCACCCTTTGTGGACATTTCGATGGCACAGGATAAAAATTTCATAACCTCTGCCCACATTGGCCGAGTTTCAAGCCATTTGGTGAAGACTCGATGAATATTAGAGTCAACTGAAAAAAAGTGAGCCACTGTTCCCGACAATACCCTAAATACATTGTACGAGGCATAGAGCTCACCAAATTTCATCCAGTATACCACTGGTACGAGTATATCTGCTACAGTAACTCAAATACAGCGCTAACCGGGACGGCTGAGAATATCGAAGAAAAAAAGATTATTTTGAAGAGCAACTATCTGGACTGGTGTGTCAGTCGTTCGGGCCATTCGACGCGTCCGAACCGGCTAGTTTTTTGCTTGAACAATTTACGACTCCAGTGCAGTAGTAAAATACTGGGATAGTGCGTCGCGTTAATTTATAATTCAGATAGCTTTGTTCAAAATTTGTGGATTATTTTTGCCCTCATTTATTTTGCATTGTATCTCCGCTATACCTGCCGGAATTTGTTCAAAATCATATGTTTTACATTTGTTTTCATGGGTAACAATATACATCCATCCATCTAATTCTAATTACAAGCAACGAAACTAGTAGAATTGCTCAAAAAACTGAAATTTACGATTGTACAATAGCTCAGCAGCAGTGGTGTCCGACACCACTTCCAACATCAAACGAAAAAAGGCTTTTTTACAGAGATACTGTATTCGCTGTCCACGAGCTTGAGCAGTCTATGTCTGTTAACCGAAATCACATACAGTCAGTTGAGTGTTAGTAGAACCATGCGCTGCGTAACGTCGAACGTTTGCGGAAACATGGCTTTTTGGAGACCATTCGAGACGGACGTGTTGAAAATATTATAGAACCGACTTCTGTCGATGAGGATTCGGAATTTAAAATAAAGACTTACATGTACAGTTCCAAAGAGTCATTTTAAATAGGTATGAATATTTGAAGAAAGAAAATGAGGGAAATCCGAAATATAAAATAATTAACCGGATACATCAGCTGACTAAAATATCTCGAATTATAAAAAAGAGATGTCACAGATCCTAACATAAAACGGAAATAAAGGAAAGAAAAATTGAATATATTGATGACGGCGTTAAAATATTTATTCATAATATTATTTATACTTCCTATAAGGAAAATGTAGTGCCAACCCTGCAAATGATTAAAAAGAACTAGAAGAATGTAGAACTCATATTTGACTGATTATGTTTACATTATGCTACCGCTATAGCAGTCTGAAGGACCACCCTAAGCTATTTATCACTCAACAATAACCCACAGAAATATATTCAGATCGCCTTTTTTTAAACACAAAACCATTCATTTACAAATAAACCTACTTTGGTATTTCTTTAAATAAAATGTGACGCCTATGGCAGATACTCCTTTGAGGTATCGGCCGCTCTGGTTTTTATGAGTTTTCAACTAGAGTTGGAAATACTATACCTTTTTCAGGAAATCTGTAGCACTGAATTTGTATACAGCTGGATCGCTACTGCTCTCGTGATATCTACTCATTGTTAACGTGTTGGATCATCCATCCGATACCCCTGACTTTGCTTTTTGTCTATAAAATCACATCTAAATGGATGAAGGTTTACGTCTGGGAACTGTCGTTGTTAATAGAAAGGGAGATCAGGAAGCGCTGGTTTAACAATTGGTTCTTGCGACTAGTGAAGAGATTTCAATGTGGAAAACAAAAGTAGTTTTCCCCACAGGGCTTATGCTGTGCTTCTTGACAGCTGGTTTCTATAGTTACTCGAGATCAATTCGTCTGCCTATCATAGCGTAAAGAATTACCTAACTCTTTAGGCGTACATGAAAAAATAGTTCAATTTCAGAGCTCTCATGTAAAGTTATAATTACACACTTTAACACTGTTGTGGTATGCTTGGTATGAATTATGGATTGCTTGAGTACCTCTTCTCGCCAATACTGTGACACTTCACATTAATTAAAAGTATAAAGAAATGTGGCACTGGTAAAAATTGTATAATTGTCTCTCATTATCTTGTACACTTCGGAGGGTTCTCAGGATTTTGGGATATATATTCCACTGTCATCTCCAGCCCTACCTCTATTACTCGACTTTTCCTGCGCTTTTTATCGGAAACTCAGGCCAGATTATGAAAAAGACACCAAAATTATAATGGCTATACTTGCTGGTTCGGCAGGCACTGGATAATTGGAATCTCCGTCTAAAAATGACAGGCCGCGCCCCAAAAGAGGCAGAAGACGGCGACACGAGGAACACAATACATCCAGACAACGCCTGAAGTTCATAATTATTTTCTTATTTTACAACAGTAATGTTTGTCTAATAGTTTTTCACCATGTATGGCTGGAATATTCTAAGGACCGTCTGACAGACATATCATACAGCTGACTGTAATTCCAATATCAACAAGAAATGTATATCGAAAATCTGTTTTCGTGGTCATCATGATATGCTATTAGTACATATTTAAAGATTATTTTAAAATTCACAGGGTGTTCCAAAACTTCGTGCAATTGTTGAAATCTATTTTTTTTACATATAATAGATTATATTTTATTGCATATTTGGATAGATCTTCTAAAAACAAGAAGTTTCATTATATATAACATATTATGGCTTCGAATGTCAATTGTTTAGATATTTCCCAGCTTTGACGGCTTACAGCTCTAAAATCTAAAAGATGTTTAGACGAATTTTAGAACACAAACAATTCATTATCACCGATTTTAAGCTGGTCCGGAAAAGGTGCTGAAATTTTATTCTAATATCATAGGGTATCTAAAAACGCAAAATGTACCGTTTCTCAAGAATTTCAAATGGAACATCGTTAAATAGTTATTTTGGTGAACTCTCTTGACATTAATCTTATACAACTTGTTTCCAAACATTGTTGTTATTGCTATTAATTTCAAGAAAACTAAATACATTCTGTATCTCAACATGAAGTTAAATCTTCTATGAAAACAATAGCTTTATAAACACAACACAAACAATCTCACCCTACGGCAATCAATCGATAATAAATTTTTCGAATATATCATTTTGGTGCGCTGCACGCAAGGCCAGATGCCTGTTGAAATTATCTTGCACGTCTGAAAGGGTTTGTCTAGGTATGCGCCTTTTGCCTATTTCCCAATTAACAATTAATTGTATTTTTTGCCCGACTGGTCGTTGGCTATAACAACGACTACTGCTCATATATATATATATGAATATACTTGAGACGTCGTCATTGTCGTCTAGACCAGTTAGGTGAAAAATTAAAGCTTCCGCCATTTGTTGGGTACTTCGACAAAATTTAAGCATTGAGGACTCTTTGTACTTTTTATTCTCTCTAGCTTTCAATGGTCATTGCCATCATCATCAGCAGCTGCAATTACATTGATAACAGTAGCAACAATTGTGTAAAATAAATTTAAATTAACTTACAGTAGTATGTGAGGATGTTGCTAATTGTTGTTTACGTTAAGGATGAGGGAAACACACCAGTAACATGGTAAAAGCTGGATAAATGGTACAATGGTCAAAATTATACAAAATACACACAGCTGTATGACAAGAACATGTTAAAAACAGATTAAAAGTATTTAAAAACGAAAGTTAAGCATTACATCGTGAAGCCACTTGAATGATTGCACCAAATGGTGGGCATAGAATCATGAGTAAAGATGAACCTTTTGACAGATGGCCGAAGGTTAGCAGTGTAGAATGATGGAACGGAAATTCTTTTGTAAGGCGTGTGCTACGTTGCCAAATCACTTCAGATG